GCTATGTGATAAACATATACTGCAGCAATGCCCCGAAAAACTATTAATTGAAACCATATTTAGATCTATATTTTCAAGAAAAATCGGATATCACTGCTGCTTGATACCAAGCTGTCCAAGACGAGAATAAAATCTTGAGTCTGTGGTTGCAAGATTAAAGACCTTGCCATGATACCAAATGCAAACCAATTGTACTAACTCGATTAGAAAGCAACCTAGTGGTTGCCCACTCTTTTTGTGGTGAAATTATCAAATATTTTTAATAGTGATATGATATACGTAAACTGCAACAATGCCCCGAAAAACTATAAACTTGAAACCATATTTAAATCTATATTAGCAGGAAAAATCTGATATCACTGCTGCTTGATACCAAGCTGTCCGAAACGAGAATAGAATTTGAAGCCTGTGGTTGTAAGACTAAAGATCTTGCCACGATACCAACAACAAACCAATTGTACTTAGTCGATTAGAAGGCAACCCAGTGGTTGCCCATTCTCTTTGTGGTGAAGTTATTAAATATTTCTAATAGTTATGTGATAAACATATACATACTGCAGCAATGCACCGAAAAACTATAAACTTGAAACCAAATTCAGATCTATATTTTCAAGGAAAAACTGATATCACTGCTGCTTGATACCAAGCTGTCCGAGACGAGAATAAAATCTGAAGCCTGGAGTTGCAAGACTAAAGACCATACGATACCAAGGACAAACCAATTGTACTTGCTCACCATTCGATAGAAAAAAATAGAGGAAATAAAAAAAATGAAGATAATTAGGCCACTTTTTTAAAACAAGATGAGAAACATATTGAGCACGAATAAATTTTAAACATAAGACATGCGCGTGTTAACATAAATAACATTCCGAAGTAATACCGAACTTGAAACTATTTATTTATTTTTTTTTTTTTTTGAAAATTTTGAATCAATTATTAATAACTAGGCTAATAATTCAGCTAGATAAATATGTGGTTTACAGACACATAGAAGAAACGATAAAAATAAATCGTATAAAATAAAATTTAAATTTTAATAAAGATTTAAAAAATGCATCATCATTGTTTAACACGTTCAACAACAAAATATATCACATTTCTCTAACATGTGCGATCGGGCAGCAAGTTCATAATTAACACAAATAATACGGGACCACGTGGAATACGATAATATATTGCATTGAAGTAATGCTAATTGGTAATTCTATATAATTGAAAAGAAATTTTATTAATGTTATTGAATAAATATATATTGTTACAGACTGGTTGTTTGGTAACAATTGCATTCTGATTAAAATTAATGTTAGAGGACGATCACGCTCAAACTATTATGAAGTAATTTGAATTGATGTGCACATTCTGGAATTTTATATCATGAATATTAATGAAGCGTAGGAAAAACAATGTATTTATAATATGGCTAGATTTTAATGAAAGCACCAGGATATAGATAGATATTAAGTAGAAAAGTTTTCGATTATATGCTCATTATTTATTATATTTTTTTTAATGAATTTATCACATGAAGTTGTTTTTGTTTAGTATAGAGATTTAGTGAATGGAGTCCTAAACTACTCAAAGTACGTATATTATATAAAGCGTATGACGGGGCACAAAGGTCCAAATTAACTTTGAGCAATTATATTGTGAAAACCAATAAAACTCCCAGTTAATTCATCATTGTAGAAATGTGTTCTCATTTGCTGTTTTTCAAAAATTTGTCACTTGGTCCTTTTTACCCCATAGAGGGGTTAAAATTGAAAGCCAGATCTGATGTTTTCTTTTTAATTTTTAAAGGTTTTTACGAAATATTAGCTACATTATTCAACCAATACAAAATATAAATTTCATGGCTACATTTTTCACACAAATAACACTGTATATAACCTTGATCTGGTATTTAGTAAGAAATATTCATCAGCACAGTTGAAACAACTATTTATTTAATTTGTCTCTCGTAAAATTTATTTTTTAACTTAATTTTCTTTTTTATTTACTATTTTCATTGTTTACACCTTTGCCAGAGAAAAGTTCAGTTGGTCCTTTTTACCCCTCCCACGTGTAAGCATTTATAGAGGTTATACAATAAAACCGTTGAATCTCACTTAAAAATTAATAATAGATCACATAAAACAATTTATATTATAGATCTCATCTGTTAAAGGTTATCAAACGCTGCAAGAAATTGTGACGTTTCCTTATTACAGAATTTAGAACGCGCGCTTACAGCCACTTAAATTCATAGAAAATCTAGTAAATTGAATAACAACATCAACGAGTTATGTTTGAAAAACATTATGAAAATATGTTATAATTTAAGTAATAAAATTTAAAGTATTTATTCCCAACAAAATTTATGTGATAAACCACATATTTTACTTTATTCATTTGCTAAGCATTAAGATTTATTCTGTTCATTTTCAAATTAACTTTTTCTGTCGATTTTCTTGCTGACTCGCCCTAATTAATTTTGTGCTGAATATATATTAAAAATGTGCCAAAACGCGCGAAGAATAATAATTGGGTATTTTATATTTATATAGAAGAGTTGTATGCTCAATTTAAGATTTATTTTACTTCAATTTAGATTTTGTTTGAGTATGTATATGATTAAGTGAGTACTATGCATGATATTGAAATCAAAAACAAATATTTCAACCAGCTGTCTTATAAAATACAATGTCAACAGTCAATGAATGTTTACTTGCAGTCTGTCTGCAGTTAATATCTATAGTTAGTCTGACTCTGTTACTGATACAACTAGTGATACATGGCAAATTGCTGGAACTTTCCGTATTAAAAATTAAAATTTTTAAAGATTCAATTTTCTTCCAGAACGGGAAAAAATCGATTTTTGAGATTTTTAAAATTTCTTAAAAAAATTACCTTTTCGAAATATTTGATTTTTTATGCATTTTTAACAATCGCAATGCGTTAGCTGAGTAGAAACGAAATATCAAAGCGCGTGGGCGCCGCGTCGCAGTATAACAGATAAACATGGGTACGTAAACCAAAGAAAAGTAAACAAAATTTTTTCCAATTAATAAAATATCTATAAAATATGTGATATATCCTATGTGCATATGTCTAAAGATCACTTTTGTCCGCCAAATGACATAATTATTCACGTTTTTCATTGGATTATCGGAACCGCTAGATCTGCCTTTCCAAAAATTTCACTCAGTTTCGCTCAGTTCTTCATTTCGTCAATACAAATAAAATGTTTTTGGAATCACTCAAATCGCACACTAAGTTCTCTCAAAAATTGAATTATCATTTTTGTCACTTTTTGATCCGTATTTCGGAACGGCTGAACCTGCCTTTGCTGAAAACTAATCAGCACGTCTCCCCATCAATAGGAATCGATTGTTCTTTGAATAATTCAAATTAATTGATCCGTGTTCTCGAAATCGTCGACGAAAATTGTATCCGCACATACAAACACACGCACATTTTATCTTATGCCAAATGCTTAAAAACCTTTGAAACATAAAGATATGAAAATTTTCATTTTCGATTTTTTGCGATTAAAAATATATAATTACAGTTTTAAATCGATATAAAATAAAATCGATAATTCATTATAGAATGTTATTTCGGAACGAGCTCAATAATTCACTTGTACTGTTTTGCTATATAAAAACACATTAAGGTATTTACTACGATGGTGTTTTATTGGGAGCCCTTTATGCAGAACGGGCATTTGTCTTATGAGTCAATTTATCACGAGAAACTCTTCGGTATTTTAGTAAAAATAAAACTACCGACAACAAAAATCGTGGTAATACCAAGATCCTAAGTATATATCAATATATTATCAAGATTGTTTTATATATTTTGAAGTATCTTTTACGGAGTTTTTCCTTTACTTTTATACATAATTATGAAATATTGTTTCTGACATAAATGCAAAGGCACAAGCAAAAGGCCTTTACCGAGTAAAATTGAATTTATAAGGTATCAAAACATCGGCAAGGGAATATGCGAAAATCAATTCATATGCTCGGCGGTGCCAGAAAAAACAAACAAGGAACGTTAGACAAAATTTCTAAAAAGGCATAGAATATATTCTAAACAAAGCATACATTGTTTTATGGTATACATATATAATTTCATTCTATTTCCAAAAATACACAATAAAGTTTTATGGTTAATTAAGAAAAATTTGCTAAAAATTGTAACAAAGTTAAGTAGTAACAGGCGTTTTTCAACAAATTCTTGAACAATATCAAAATGTTTTTTTGTGTCGATTGGGCATGTAAACTCTTTCGCAGGCCGACGCAATATACAGAACTGTGTAGGTCCGTCATTTTTGTTATATAATAATATTATGTTATACTGTACCGTCATAAAAATATATATATATATATATATATATATATATATATATATATATATATCTTTCATTTGCAGTGTGGAGAAAAACATACTTCATTTATAACAAATTAGATAAGACGAATACAGGTAAATGCTTCAGAAAAGCACCACCCGAGCAAAAATAATGTATAAAAATACAATAACATCATCTTACACAAACAGAATGTGTTTGGCCACACAGACGATATCGCTCAAGGCTAGACTCAAAAATTTTGCTTGATAAGTTGTGTTTTGCGCTTTGATCCGATCTGTCGTGGAAACAGGCGGTCCACGAATGATTTCAGAGGGTGGGTGTTCTACGTTCCGATGGTCATGCACCTAACGAGCGGCTTCTCTCTAGTGAAGGGTCAATATGTTCTAACAAGCATATGAAAGTCCCCGAAGGAAAAGGATAAGGAAGCGCTTGAACAAACAGACTATCAACAATATTGGACATAACATATAGTATTTGTCCTTCTTTATAGTCTGTTGTCAGTTCACGTTCATGATTGATAAATTGTCTAAAAAGTTCTTAAAAATAAAATGTTTTGATTACAATTCATATGCTGAAAGCGCTGTCAAGAAGCCGGTCGTTAGACGCGCGGTGCACGTGGTAACGAGTTGGACGCAATAAACAAAACCTTCTGGTATCCTTGGAAAGCGTTGTTTCTGAAGAAGTAGCGGTGGCCACAGAAGTGGCCGATGATGCTGTACTGTCCATACGTGTTTTGCTTAATGAAGCATTGGTCGTAGCTGTCGTATTTGTCGACATTATGGAGCAAGAGGCTGACGGATCTTCGATATCGTTCGGCGTCGTCAATTGTGTCGGAGGCGATTTTGGCGCCTGAAATTTTATTGTCGCCGGACGACGAAACATCGACCACAATAACATCAGTATCGTGCCTATCATTGCTTTGCATCGCGTCGAATCGATATAGTTACCGCTTGAGCCACTAGTTGCTACGACCTAGTCACACACAATCAGGGTGGTCGGTAGGGAAAGCGGCAAGGCAAAAAAATGCGGCCGCCACCCGCCACCGGTAAACACACACGTATTCGAACACAGTAAAAGAAATTAGGATATGACACATCCACAGAGATCACTGCACAAATCGCGCTAAACACTAGATCGCACGGAGTAAATACACGTTACATGTGACAAAACGGACATCGGGACGTGCGGCTACCGCACGCCGGCCCGGCTTCACGGCTACTGATAGGCACTGAAAGGGGCGCACGCAACGTAGACTGGCATACCTTGTAGACGACGATCGCGGTTGTATGTTGTCTCTTGTCAGATATTGAGCAACGTCATCGCCTCTATCAATTCTTCAGTCTATGCCGCTATTCTATACTGATCTGTTGACGTACGGTCGTGCACGTGGCCGTACAAAACTACTAACAACTAGCAGTAAGTGGAATTCTGTCTTAAGGTAATTAAGGCATCGTGCCTTAAGGCAAATTGCTGCAACTTCCCGTATCAAAAATATTAATCATTTAAAAACGATTAACATTTAAAAAAAAAATTACTTCGAAAAAATTAGATTTTTGAGAAACTATTAATTTGACAAAAAATTACTTTTTTTTAAAAAAAAATTATTTGAAAAAGAAAATTTTTTTCGAAAGAAAATTTTTTTAGGCACTGAAAGGGGCGCACGCAACGTAGACCCCTTCATATTAGCCGTTGACGGTCGCTTCAGCGGAGACGCACGATACGAAGCCGCTCGGGATAGAGCGAGACGGAGAGTGCATGTGTACAGCGCCATGTCCGGGGTCACAGCGCAAACTCAACGCCTTGGGAGACTCGCGAACTGGCATACCTTGTAGACGACGATCGCGGTTGTATGTTGTCTCTTGTCAGATATTGAGCAACGTCATCGCCTCTATCAATTCTTCAGTCTATGCCGCTATTCTATACTGATCTGTTGACGTACGGTCGTGCACGTGGCCGTACAAAACTACTAACAACTAGCAGTAAGTGGAATTCTGTCTTAAGGTAATTAAGGCATCGTGCCTTAAGGCAAATTGCTGCAACTTCCCGTATCAAAAATTATTAATCATTTAAAAACGATTAACATTTAAAAAAAAAATTACTTCGAAAAAATTAGATTTTTGAGAAACTATTAATTTGACAAAAAATTACTTTTTTTTGAAAAAAAAAAATTTATTTGAAAAAGAAAATTTTTTTTCGAAAGAAAATTTTTTTTGAAAGAAATTTTTTTTTTTGAAAACTAAAAATTTTTTTGAAAAAAAAAAATGTTTTCTTCATTTTGACATATTTTGGAAATTCTGAACTTTCTTTCACAGCAATCGTACTGCTTGAACTGCATAGAGACGAAATGTCACAGCGCAAGTGCCGCGCCGCCGTTTAACGCATAAGCATGGTACGGAACCATTCTATGGTACGGAACCCATAGAAATGTAAAAAAAAAATATACTTATTGTTGAAATCTCTATAAAATATCTGATAATTTGATGTGCATATGTCTAATGATCATTTTTAACCGCCGAATGGCATTTTTTTTTACTTCTTTCATTAGATCTCCAAAACCGCTAGACCTGCCTTCATGAAAATTTGATCAATTCTTCATCTTGTCAATACAAGTGAAATGTTTTTTTGAATTATTCAAATCGGACACTCCGTTCTCTTGAAAACTGGGTTTCGGAGGTCTAACAAGAAAAGTAAAAAAAATGCCATTTGGCGGTCAAAAATAAACATTAGACATATGCACATCAAATTATCAGATATTTTATAGAGATTTTAATAATAAGTATGAATTTTGTTTACATTCCTATGGGTTCTGTACCAATGTTTATCCGTTAGACAGCGACGCGGCGCTTACGCGCTTCGATATTTCGTCTCTATGCAGTTAAAGCAGTACCATTGCTTTGAAAAAAAGTTCAGAATTTCCAAATTATTTCAAAATAAATTTTTCTTCAAAAAGTCTTTTTTTTTCAAATAAAAAGTAAATTTTTGTCAAAAATTTATAGTTTCTCAAAAATCTAATCTTTTCAGAGTAATTTTTCTTCTAAAATGTTAATCTGTTTAAAAATAAATAATTTTTGGTACGGGAAGTTCCAGCAATTTACCTTAGGCACGATGCCACGCGCCCCACTAGTTTTGTAATAAAATAATGTACTGTTCTAGCCGAATGATGAGCCATCACACCCGGCCTCAAAACGTATATAATCAAATAAATATTTAATTCTATTTTGACGCATTGGCTGTTTTACTATAAATCAATCAACGATTATTAATTCATAATCATATTTACCAAAAATTCAGATAGACAAAAAACACACATTACGCACTTATTGTTATTCCACCCACGAACGTTGTCAACGGCAGGGTAGCAAACTAGTAATTACGTGACTTAATTGATTTTCACAATTACAAATAATGTTTGTAATATCCGATGATGCCTAAAACGATTATTGCACCACTTTAATTTATAAGTGGATTATAAATATGGTGATGCTAATGACAGTAGACTAATACTATGAGTATCCAATTATCAAGGTAAACACTTTCAAAACACCGAATCAGTACTTGCGCATGCAAGCTATTAAAGTATTAAAGGAGATCATATTGAAGAGAATCTAAAATTAGATTATGCAAAGTTAATACACTTTATAAAAAGTTAGATTATCCTCATAGATATAATCCGTTGTATATAAAAGTGGTCTGATGTTTTAGGAAATAAATATTGTGTTTATCATACCTAGTGGATATACCATATTAAACTCGTACAATTACAAATAAATGATTGACAATATGTAAAAAAAAGTTTTTTATCTATTAGTGTAATGTTTATCTATTAGTAAAACTAAATAGTAAAATAAGGAGTTCTTGATTCAAAATGTAGAACTTGATGGAAGCAATAAAAATAAATATTTAAAATTGCAGCATTGCATGCGAACCAACGCTTTATTGCACATAATGTAAGTCTTACCATGGAATGTTTATTTTGGAATGAATTGCATCAAACAAGATTAAAATTAATTAAATAAATACAACAATGTTAAATACACTCAGAAACATTATTGTCACGCGCCTTCATCTTAAATAATGAATAAATGAGATCATTACTATCTGATATAGGATGGTCTTGAAATGAAGACCTGAAGTCGATCCAATTTCAAGGACCTAAGGGTATATATGTACACTAGTAAATTTTTGATTTGTAATTTGTACGTAATGCTATTTAAAACTCATACTTTTTGCAAGGAAATTTAAAACTTTTGAAATGCAAACCAAAAAACTTTTCAAATTTCTGCTTCAATGCTTCTTGGTCCGGCGCTTCGGCTTTCAGTTCCCTGTATTGCTGTATTGTCTCCTCTCGCGAAAGAACCTCAACCATCTGCGTTCTCTTTTTGCCCAACCCTATTTTTAAAGCTATTTTACCTTCGATGACATTATTGTAGGAGGTACTTTTTCGCAGTATGGGTCCAATCCAGTTTGCTTTATTTTTCAGGATTGTGCTTAGTAGAGTCCTTATTCTCTCAGGACTTCTTCATAGGTTATCTTGTCCGCCCACTATATCTTCTCCATTCGTCTCCAGCACCACATTTTAAAACTCTCGATATAGGATTTGTCGGTCTTTCTCAGAGTCCATGACTCTGATCCGTACAGAATCTCTTACGCAAGTCGAGACTCAGTTTGCTCATTAGTATATATATATATATATATATATATATATATATATATATATATATATATATATATATAATTATATCAATGTAGAAATTGATCATTATTGAATTTCGGATGATTTGCTTCAACCTTTTATTTGTATGTGTATAAGTTACAGTGCCATTATGGCAATTAAATAACGAGTCATAATAAGCGAAACGGTATCAGAATATAATACTTACATAACATCAAGACATCTTTACTTAATTGGAGCTTATTTGATTTGTCATGGAGAATATCATAATGATTTCGCCTGTTAGATACAACATTTCTGTGAGAATTATTTTTGTTGGAACATAACCAGCTGAGTTATCTGTTTGTCTGTATCATAAGTTTTCAAACTTTTTTGTGGGCTTTGCCATAGAGAGTCCATTTACTAAATATCAATTTTTAATAAATTTTTAACTGTAATAAACTAAAGTTTATTACTTAGCATTAAAAAAATATTAATATCCAGAAACACTATTATTAAATATTAAAAGTAAAAACACATATTACTTGAATACATTATTAAATGAATTTAAAATAATAGTATAAAAATAAAGTAAGCGAAAAGTAAATGTTCAATTCTTAACAATTAGCAACAATTTTGTAATGTTTAATCTTACATCTCTTGGCTGATGAGTCTACATCTTCAGTATACATTTTTTTGGTTAAGAGATCACTATTTTACAACTAATCGTTTTCTATCTTTAGCATCAAGAAATACTATCACAATCTCCAATAGCGTAAATAATATTGTCAAGCCTTGAAATAGTCAGCAAATTGGATCTTTACAAGCTTAACCATATTACGACCAAAAATTCAATGCCTACTTACGGTACAACTTACACATTTTTATATAAAAGAACAGTGCTTTTATTTATTTTTTAGTTATATTTATAAATATTGTATATGTATTGTATATGTATTAAATATAGTAAAATATAAGTAAATGTATATCAATGTGGTGTATTATGATAAACTAGGACCACTATTCCATTTTGGACCACTATTCCATTTTTCGCTCACGTGTACCCTCTGAATGTTGTCATGAACTTCTAGGGGTCCATGTGGACCAC